AAAAAAACAATTCAACTGAATGCAAAATATAAAAGACAATAGGTTCTAATTTCTAATTACTTGAAAGTGTATAAAATACAAATTTGGTTCTGATTCATGCAATTAAATAAGCACACGCTCAACCAAAATTAAAATTATGCATGGCAAATTCCCTCCATCGTGTGACTAAATGACATGTTTCTGGCCCTGTGAAGATACCAAAGAAAATGGCTGGGTGGATAAAAAATTTAAATAATATTTGCTTCAGAGCCTTGTTATTACAAGGTAAAAAATAAATGCTTTGGATAACAGTGATGATGTATCTGCTTGTATTTAGGGGTTTGATTTAACTTTAACTTAAACGATATGGTTTCCATAACTCCTTAGCCACACTGACCTAGTGACTAGCTGCCAGTCTTGATTGACCAAAATATCCATTCCCTGACCAACTGGTGAGTGGTTGCTAGATGCTGGGCAAAACAGGTCGCAACTGCGCCAAAAACCTCCTGGCAATTGCTTTGTTCCTATCAGACTGCATCCAGACAATCAGGCACCGACTGGTCTCTAGGCCTGGGCAATATAGGCTTAGCAACTGATATCACAGCAGTTGCCGCCACCACTCAACAACCAACCCTCATGTTTTCCTCACAACCGGTGGTTCCCAGGCAGTTACAAACCAGTCTCTAGGCCTGTATAACTGGGACTTAAAAAGATAACTTACCCCAATAGTGACCAAAAGACACGCTGTCCAGAGAGCATAAACAACTACTGCATCCAGTCCAGTTCAGCCCAAAAAGAGATCAACACTGCACCAGCCTGATGTGGCACCAATTAATGAGCAATCACATTTGATAGTACTATAAGAATATAAATGCCTTTTCCCTTACAATTCACAGCTCACAAAAAACTCTTCTTCATCTAGCAGTAATGATGCACTCATGATCAAAGCTGCCTATAAAGTATGGTTGGCTCCACATGAAATATTGAAAAATCAACAGCAATACACCTCGAACCGACCTATTTAGGCCAGACATTATTTGGATATGGCCTAATTTGAGTCTAGAGACAGACTCATGAAGACTAGGCTTTAGTTTTGAACAGCTATACTTATGCAGGTTTAAACTAAATTCTTTGAGCTGAGCTTCAGAAAAATATCAGGGTCTGTTCACTGGGAAGTAAGAATGTCTTGTAATGTACTCAACTGTCACTCAGGTGTTTTACAGAACATTCATACTGTATTTTCAAGCTCTGAGTGCACTTCTATCAGACTCATAGGGATGGTCTTATGCGATGAGATATTTCAGTCTAGACAAAAGTGACAAACCTACAGAGGCAAACTATACCCACGGGGAATACAAGAATACAAACTAATAATCACCATTACTTTAAATGTAAACCAACACTGGGACAGAGGGGGGTCTGAGTAATGAGGCTGACAATCTGGGTTCCAATGTAGGATGAGAAACTAGGTCAACACTTGTCTGGGCAAACTAACTTTATTCAATACATCACAGACGTTCCAGCAATGTTAACAGTTCTGTTCATAAAAGGTGCAAAATTTTACAAAAAAAAATGCAGAGATCTTAGAAATTAGTTGAGTTTTGTTCCCTGCTCTCAGCGCACAGTGGAGAGCATTATTAGCATCTGTGTTTCTTTTCATCACAGCATCAAGTCTCAAATTCAACTAAGAACCTTTTAGCAGTGGCTGTACCTGCTTGCCTCTCAGAAACTGGATTTCAGTGTGTGGTGGTACGTTAATATTATAATAACAGAAGTGATATTGAAACCTATTTTCTCATGAAAACCATCTGTTTTGTTTTTTGATTTTAAATCAACTGCCAACTGAAAGATGCTGAGACTGGTACCAGCCAAAGACACTCCCCTCAGCATTATCCACATTAACTGGAACGCCGCTTTGCCCCAGTTTTCCAGCCATTTACCCAACATTTCAATTTCACGTTAGTCTACAACTTATGCAATCTAACAAATGAAATAGATTCAGACCAGAGCACAATATGATTGCTCAAAATGTAAATAGGTCATTTCGAATAATCTCTGACCCAATCAGCTACAGTGGCTCAAGAATCAACTTTTTTTTTTTTTTTTATTTCACAAGAGACCCAGTAATTGCTACATCTTTGGCTGAAGCCATCTGGGTTACAGGGCCATGAAAGTAGTGGGAGTTTAGGCAAAGTGTTAAATAGGTCTCAACACAAGCATCCTCTCCAGCAGTCACAGGTCCAGTTTTCCCCATTGGATCGACCTCCTGTTTTCCTATCTGGCTTCTGCACCTCGACCCTGGAAGCCTAGAAACTGTGGGGAGAACAGCTTGGAGTAGGATTGCGGTGTAGGCCTGTGTGGGTCGTGTAAAAAGTAAGGTTCCCATATGCCCGCCAGCCCTGAATCTTGGATAGCTTCAACTTGAAAGACTTGGCCAAGCTGCTCTGCACTCATTCATACAGGGCCAGTTGCTCATCCAGCCAAACCCTCTAGAAAATAAAACTACTTGCACACACGCACACACACAGATACACACAAAACACTGCCACTCTGCTTTATATGAGTATCAACACCCAGAGCTACCAAATTTGAATTCAAGCTGCTGGTGTTTGTGCCCATATCTTTAAATTTGAATAGTAATGCAAGAAAAAAGAACCTTACTAGTTTACTTCCAACAAGCGCGCACGCACGCACACACACACACACACACACACACACACACAAGACTTGAAGCCTTTTTGAATATCGGGAAAGTAAAACATGAACAAAGACTGATTTCCAATCTATAGCTGTTAACTTTTCTTGCAGAAGAGGGAATCAAAGCACACAAACACATATAGAGCAACTCATCACCTAAAAAAAAAACCCTCCTGTAACTTTCTTAGTAATCTTGACTCTCTTTCTCTCTTCTATCAGTGCTGTGCATCCAGCACGGGTGCATCACACTCTCTCCTCTGTCCCACAACTCTAACAATTCCGCCTCTGCAAAGCTGACGGCACTACAGGAAGACGGTACGAGTTGTGCCAAACAGTCTTTATTTTTTTTGTAGTGCAGAGAAGCAAGCCAGCAAAGCATAGGAAAGCAATTTGGTGACACCGGTAAGCACTCTCAAACCACAACAAAGCTCAAATTTAATTTAAACTGGTTGATCATTTTTAAACTACTGCCAATTGAGTTTGACATTTTTCTCCTTTTAGGCTTTAAACGCTGTAGTCATGCTGTGCGTCCTTCAGGATCCTCACAGTGAAAGCAGCCTGGTTTCCATTAACCACCAGTTGTTGGCATTAGGCAGTAGATATCACTGGGAGCATTCAAAGTGCTGGAGATCTCTAACAGACTAAGCGCATCAGCGTGCCTGAAAGAGTCTGAGCATCTGCTGCATGGGACAAAATGAGAGTGGAGTAATTATGAGAGAGGCTCCCCGGAGCGTTCTCTCTCAGCATCCCCGCTAATCCGGTGACACCAAAAGGTGTGGCGCCGTGTGGCTTTCCTCACACTTACTAATAAACAAAGAGCGTGCGCGAGTGAGTGCGCGTAATCATAAAGAGAGAAGACAAAGCCATTTCTTGAACTTGAGCAGCGCGACTGATGGAGAAAACATCAGAGTGCGTCCATTACCTCGGAAAAGGAAGGCTTTGCTGCTGTTGTGAAGACCCGCCACTTGGGTAATTCCATAGGTGGCATTTGCCAGGTCAAGTTCATTGATGATATCAAGCTGGTAGTCTTGATCTGAACCGAAAGCCAAAGCTGTGGAAGAGAATTTGGAGGTGAGAGGACAATGTGCTGACAGAAGTGAAGCTGACAGTGTTTTAACAACAATGTTGATTCACTTTAAACACAGACCCGGTCACTGTTTTCTGCATTTATCCACTTAAAATGGCTGGTTGTGGAAAAAGTCACGCAGTTTTTATTTTTCACGAAAGATGCTGCTAAGGCTGCCCACTAAAAGAAAGGGGAGAGTGCTGTATGTGTCCACGACCATCACCTGTCTTCTAACTCTGCAAACTGTAGGTGATTGAAAATAAAAAATAATTGAAATAATACTGAAAAATTAAAGGCACTGCCACAATTCTGGAATCCTTGCACAAACTGGGAAGCGTAAAGAAAAAGAAATTATATATATTTAAAGAAAAAAAAAGCTTCTGCTACAATAAGATGCTACAAGAGTGAACACGGGCTTTGTGCTTACCTGGTGTGGTAAAAAAGAAAAGGGATAACAGAGCCACGTAAATATCCATTTGTGTTGGAGTTGCGATGTACAGAGTCCGTGAGTGTGACGCGCCTCCGTGTACCCACACTAACCCGCTCCGGTCCGTCTGGTGCTCTGCGCCGCTCTCACCTCGCCTGGATGTGGAGGAACGGAGGAATGGTCCACAATCCGTGAGCAGGGGTTCTCTAATTACAACACCGGGAGAGTTAATGGGCTTTAAACGTATCCAGTCAGTTGGTGGACGGCATTAAAAGTGACCCACATCCGCGTTGATGTGTGACTCCTATTAAACTGAGCAGCCGATATGAAATTCGAGGATATTCTCATCACTCGAACTGCGAAGTTCCCCTCCGCTCAGACAACAGAAACTTCCAGTTTTTGGAGGTGAGAAAGAGGTTTTCAAACGGAACTTTGTGAGTGGAGGACATCGGGAATGTCTGTAGAAGGCTGCTGTTATTTGTCACAACAGAGAAAATATTTTTTACAGCCTCAAGCGGCAATTTGACACAGCAGTTCACAAAGTGGAGCCCATTATATTAGCCACATGAACATACCGTAGCTCAGGGAGTCTTCTCTAAATGAGAAGTTTGTATAACAAGAATTTGCGTCACAACTCTCCGAACTCATCCCTGCTGCTCCAGTGCTCTTTCCTCTGGGGCCTGTCCTTATTAAGGTCCATTCCCCTGCCTGCCTTCACTTTGTCTACATTGTCAGGTTGTCTGGGTTACCTGCGTCAACTCAAACTAGGGAGGGTAAGAACAGAGGTATCTGCTCAGAGACTTGCAGCAGCATGCATCGCCTGCTCCAACAGTGCTTGCCTTTTCCACACCGGGGACGGTGCTTTGGGATGCAGGTCACTCCTCCACCTATTCAAATTAGACTGTAAACAACACTGCCTATCCACTGATCCAGAACCCGAAAAAATTGAAGGGTAAAACAACATGTAATTTGAAATTACAGGTTGCAGAGCAGCCAGCAGAAAGGGGAGGGAAAGAGAATTTAAATTGTTTTTAGACAGGCGGTGGTGTTTACAGGCTACAAAATTCCTGCCTCTCAGAATATTAAGTGTAGGGAAAAGAAAGCCAATTAAAATGCACAGTGTTGTCCACTTAATTTATTTATCCGTCTGTTGTTTCTTTATAAATATCAGGATCATGTGTGGAATTATCTACTGAAGCACAGCAAATTTATGTAGGGGTTCCTATTCCCACCCACAGGCAACCGAGGACAATCTACACAGCAAATTCAAAAGTGTTA